AGAACAAATAAACAAGCAGACAAACATGAATATGGTTTAACGTTTGTGTTAGGTTTTAGGCAAGGTGATTCTCTGAACGATGTCCAAAAACAATGCCAACAGTAAAGCAGGGGTTTGCAAGGAGAAAAAAATGTCCATTTATCAACCACTCTTCACTGGAGTGCTGAAAACATGCAGCATGTCTGTCTGGATGAATGAAAGTGATATTCAAGCATTTGTACCACAAATTACTTAGCCTTAGAATTGGTGTCAGAAGCTTAAAAGAGCAGAGAAGTTCTTCTCAATTACATTTGTTCAAGAACTGTGTAGATGTGGTACTGAGGGACATGGTTACTGGGCACTATTGGTAGTAGCTGAACAGTTGGACTAGATGATTTAAAGGCCTTTTCCAACCTTAATGGTTCTATGATCTGTATTTATATTAACATCTTACAAATCAATATTGCAGACCAGGATTTTTTCTGTAGGTATTTGTTTGTGTAAGTGTACAGATTTGGTAGGACTGTGTGTCCCACAGAGTGCTGAGCTCTGCCTCTACTGTACCTAAACCTAGCTAGTCTGCTTTCTAATAACTAGAAAGTCAAACAGGGATGCAGAATTACATAAAAAATAGCTAGTTCTTTGGGCCTCAGATCTCTTCACAAAAATGAAATAGAATCATAGGAGCTCCACAGCACTGTACAGAAAAAGCTCCATGGTCCCCTGCACAAGTGAAAATACTGAAACAGAGAGTGACTTGTGATCTCTGCAAAAGGGAACTCTCCCAGGGGCTTGTCACTCTGCCTCTCACTCTGTGCAGGAGGGGGATGTCGGCATCACAGCATTTCTCATGAGTGGAGCAATCCATTTTGTTGATCTACCACCTGGCCCAAAGGTGGGGAGAATGCCAGATTCCCTGTTTGCCTGGTGCTAACCAGCTGGCCCTGGGCATGCTTAGAAGCCTGCAAAGCCAAACTAAAGGCAGGAGGCAGCACAGGAGCTGGCTCTGAGCTGGATGGGATCTGGCAGCCTTACCTGGCCCTGGGAGCTCTGTAATTCATGCAGTTGCAGCTGGGGATCTGAGCACTTGGCAAAAGGGGCAACCTGCCTGCCAGATTTATTTTGGTCTGTCAGGCAAGGTCACCAATTAATTCCTCTGGAGCATTTCAGTTTGGTTGTATCAAGATTTTTTAGTGTGAAGCAGTTGCATTGTAAAGAATTATGCCCAGCTTCACAAATGAAAGTAGAAAATCTGGATGCAGTGTAGGTGCTTATACTCAAGGTTGAAATCCCAAATAGTCCCTCCTGTACCTATTAATAGCAAAGTCTGTAACTGCCTGATTTTCTCAACTTCTAACACCGTAGAGATCATCCTTGCATCTGCTCAGAAGTGCTGTAATAGCTACAGGCCTTAGCCCTGTCTCATATACAAGACAGATGAGGAGACTCAAGGTTCTTCTCTCTGCACCTTTAATTTAGTGATACCCACAAAAAAAAAAAAAAAAAAAAAAATGCAGGATCTGTGATTACAGTTAGTGATGAAACAGTTCCCACCTATTTGCTTACAATGATTAATGGATTGAACGTTCACCTGAGATGTGAAACCCAAATTGTATCTGTTTTCAGACACAAAGTTGCAACATGTAATACAGCAAGTTGTAAGAAACCATTGGTGCACTACGGAGCACGTTGTGGAGACATCCAAATCAGGATCAAATGGAAATGTTCCAGCCATATTACAGAGTTTAATGGTTATCAGTATATCTGCAGTGAGTCTGAGGTTATCTATAGAGATAAATGTCATGGCAAGGTAAGCATTTCACTGCTGGTTCCTGTCCCAGCCTGAGTCTACATCAGTCTTCCCACAGATCTGTTTATCAATCCCAAATTCTCATGGTCATGAACAAATTTTGATTATTAATAGTTTGCTTTTGAACATATAAGCAGGAATCCAGGAATAAATGTTAGATTATTTTGCTTAAATTTGACTGCATTTCTTTTGATATAATTATCTTTTTGTCAGCTGGTGAGAAAACAAAGCATCTCTTGCTATAGTAAATTTTCTAGCACATGAGAGACAAATATGACCACTGTTAAACAAGACACTTTAATATTTTTATGTAACCCAACATTCTTTATAGATATTAGTTACACTTGCAAAGATAAAGATAGTATGTAGAGAAAATAATCTGAAAAAAAATAGAGATTAGTTAGTTTGGCGTATGTTAGTAACAAACAGACAAAATTTGGTGACTACTTACCATATTTTGAAATTAATTTTATTACCCAGAAGATTTTAGGAGTCATGAAGGTGCCTTGAAACCACAGAACTGAGAGAAAACGACCCATTTCCCTGGTGAAATACAGCACAGATATAGCAAAAGCCAGTGGGTTGTTATTTCAGTACCCCAGTTTAGCACTGTATTTGTTATAGTAACCCTAGCAGAATTCATGCAGGAATTAGGGGTGACTCTTCAAGGATTATCCTATCTTCAAAGCGCACAATTTACGTAAAGACAAAGCACATCAAGGCAATAGAGAACGTGATTATCTAATAGCAAGACAAAAGCTGACTTATGCGCAATATCATGAGTCTCTGCTAGCTGCTACTGGCAAAGTTTTGGTTTAATTTAGCCTTGATTAGGTAGACAGCAATTGGAGTATTTAAGATAATCTATAGAGTCCTTGGATATTCAAACTCCTTATGTGCCCTGAACTCAATTTGTGCCAAAAATGATCCACCTTTAATATGATTAGTGTAAAAAATATCCTGGGCCCTAAGGCAGTTTGTAATCACAGGTAGGTGGAAGCCACATAATGAAAGAAAAGTGAGAAGGAAGTTTGTAGATCTCCAGAAGCTCCAGAAGGCTAACGTTTTCACAGAGGTTTCAGTATGAATTCTGAGACTGCCTGAGTAACTTCCAGCTGAGGTGCTGAGCTGCTTTCTCCTCTGGAGGCTTGTTTCTATAGGTTGGGTAAAAGTTTGCTGGGATGCCCACATTTTTTCCTGCTTTCAGAATCTGAATGGGCCACTGGGCAATAAGTGGGGAAAGAAAGGGATGGCAGGAAGAAACACACTACAGATGAAGAGAATGCTGTGATCGTATCCATCTGTACGTGTATATGATTGCTACTTCTCAAAATCCATCTGAAAGTAAATTTAATTGTGTTAGGACATGTTTGTTCAATGTGAATTGCAGCTAAGTGAACTGCAAGAGAAAAAAAGATTTTTTTTTTTTTTTTTGATGTATTAGCACCTTTTCAGGTACCGTAATAACAACCTTTCAGACTCCTTTAGGAAGGACCAGAAGTACTTGTTGAACATCTTTGGATTTTCTTAGCAAACTGGTCTCTGAGCCCTGCAGTATAATTACTGCCTATCCAGCAATGTTGGAAGTGAGAATGTCTTTTGCAGTGTCTTTTTCCTCCAGTGACAATGTGAAATGGTACTCAGGTACAGAATTGTACCTGAAATGTATTTACAGGAAAAAAAAAAACCCATACATAGTAATCAAGTATGGAAGATAGAGGAGGGGAAAAAAAAACACTTCAAACCTTGATTAGAATTTATATTAAAGTGCCTGGAACGTATCAGACCTATAAATAAACCCTGGAGATTCAAACCGTTGTTGGTAAATAAAAAAGCCAGTAGATGGCATAGGAGACCTTGTATTCAGCATTCAGCTCAGACGGCTGCTAATAGCTCCTCTCATCTGCAACCGCCTGTGTTGTCTCTGGGTTTAGCCCTAGCTAGTGAATTTGCTAGATTCCCGAGGTTTCTTATTCATGAGCTACACTTAGATCCGCACAGTACATTTATTTTTAGGGACAACTAAAGTTCATTTAATAACTTATTTGAACATGCTGAGTAAAAGCCTGGCTCTGGTGAGTTTAACCGCAGACTTCATTCAGTAGGGTTAGAATTGTGTGAGTTATTTTTTTTTTGATGCTCGTACTGGGGAGCAGGCATTTCGTTTCCAGGAGGGGTCTGATATTAGTGGCTTTGTCCTTTCCTCTCACGCTGCAGCTCCTTTCTCTGGAGCACAACAGCCATGCTTTGCTGTGAGTCGCTGTGTCATTCAAAATTAGTAAATCAAAAGAGCCCGGTCTGATGGACAAAAGGTTGGTTGCCTTTGTCTAGGCTCCAGCAGCCTTTTGCCTGTTCCACTGTAATAGCAGGATCCAGTTCTATGTTTTTATGATTAATCTGCTAACATTTAACCAAAACTGACCATGAACAAATGAAGTGCATTGTTTTGATTTTTTTTTTTTCCAAATGTATCATTATTATACTATTGTATGAATCTGAAAATGAAAATCCTCAGTCTAGCAATAAAATATACTTGTGGTTATGAGATCTCGTGGAAAAAATTATTTTTCATCTCTAGAATCGCCGAAGAACTTGCGAAAGGTATATGGGACAATAAATTCATGAGCATTTCTGACTACATCAAGTTGGTAAGTAGTGATATCGTTCTGATGCAGTAAATAAGGCACAGATCTCCAACTCTTTGCAAAACCAGATTACAGAGCCACAAAGGTAGGATTAGGACTTGAGTGTGGCCCATGTTTAAACCTGCATCATTTTTTTGACAATTTTTTTTTTTTTTTTTTTTTTTTAACAATAGTGGAGTGCTATAGTTGTGTGCTCATTTTCCTTGATTTCTACAGCAAAGTCCAAAGTTCATTAATTCATGTCGTTGAGAAGTACTAGAAATGAAAAGTTGAGTGTATAAGAGATCAGACTGTGAAATATGCATCTTAATACTTGGTAGGCAATGTAACTGTGGTTTGCTTTATAAGATAGGACAAGCGTAACTTCCAAATGAGGTTTAAATCTGGAGTCCAGATATCCTCCCAGATGGATTGGAAATATCTATGTGGTGCATTAGACACTCCAGAAGGGCTTTTTTGCACTCATACTGTTATTGCTCTTAATTCTATTGGCAAAATCAGCCAGTTCTCAGTGCCCAGTGCCAACCTCAGGCTTTGCTAACTTTTGTTATGTTTGGATTTTACAGCTGGAACAATCAGTGGAGTCAGACACAGGTACCCATCTGCCTCAGCAAGAGGGTACCAACAAATTGGAATGGAACAGAGAAGAAAGCAACTCCTTGGAGATGGAAGCAAGAAGAGCTGTGTCTAATGCATGACTTGAACACTAGGCAAAGGTGTGTGCCTGGGCTTTCTTGGGCTGAGCCTGCTCCCAGGCCCTGGCTGTGTTAGTAAGGAGATGGATTGTGAATTCACTGCTCATGTTCTGCTGTAAAGGGACATGTTTGTCTTTTCTTCCTTGTGTCTGGGACAGTGCATGAACTAAGCATTTCTTTAGGATTGCTGTGTTTAAGCCATCACAGCATCCTGCTGGAGGGAGCTTTGCTTCCTTTGAAAAGCAAGGTTGGTGTGAACAGAGTAGCTTCTGCTAAGGGAGAGGGATGTGTGGGAGGTGTACCATGAGCAGGTCACCTTTTTCTGCCATTAGCAGAAGTGAATTTGCTCTTCTAGGGGCTGGGTTTCTGGAGTGGCCTTTGTGCCGGAGCAGGACCTAAATTGGTGCTTCACCAGGGGCAGGCATGACATGGCACACTGCAGCTTTTAACACTGTACAGGATGTGTTGTTGTGTATCATCACTGTGCGGAGAAGCTAATGTAAAACCACTGATCAGTTTCTCTGAAGTTTTTTTCCAATGATTTTAACAATTTGTAAATAATTTCTGAGAGAAGACATTTGACTTTATGAGCTGTTTGTATTTGTTGTACTGTACATTCCAGTTTGATCATTGTTAATTAGTGTCATGCCTCTGTGTTTTACAGTGAGCAGAATTACTTCTCTTACCAATGGCTCTTTGGTGCTACTAAATTCCTATTCTACTCATTGAGCGTGAAAGTTCCTTTTTCTTCCCTCACTGCATTTCTTCACTACCTTTGACTTATCTGGAGCGGTTGACTGGCAAAAGTTTCTTTTATAAACAAGCGGATTAAAGGGAGAGGTACTGGATTAAAGATGACAGACCACAGTCTGATCCTATGAAAGTCAATGGTAAATCTCCCATAAGCCACAGTGAAAACAATGCCAGGAAGAAAAGAGCTTTCTAGGTGCAATATTAGTGTGATTTTAAAGAAAAGTGGAATGCATCATCTCCCCTCTTGTTTGCAGCTGACTTTTTTGGAGTGTAGCATTTCTAGTGAGTTAGCATAACACAGCTTTTGTAATAAAGCATTCATAAATTCCCTGTACAAATGAAAACACAGTGTATTGGCCTGAGTTTAAACATCCTTGAGCAAAAATAAATAAATAAATAAAAGCTGTTTAGTAGAGTACTGGCTATCTGACTGAAGGGTCAGTACATATGAAGGTTCTAAAATATAACATAGATTAAGTAAAGTCTGTATGACATGCATGAACCCTTCTGTGCATACTGTAGCCCTGCTCTGCTCTCTATTCTCCAGAGGTGAGAGCTGCTAAGGTGAACAGATGATTGCCATGTGACATTTACCCTGTGTCAGAGCTCAGCCCATGAGGCTCTGGGCTTGGACAAACACTTAATAGCTTATTTTCTTCAGTAAGTAGTTAAGTAGATGCAGTGCATTGAAGAAAGAACAGGTCTTATCTAATTCCAAGTTAGTTTCAAGCTAGTGAAAGAAAATAAGAGTACCTTATGTTACTTGTTTTTCTGAATTTGAACAAAAAGCCTTGAGAAATGTTATTCTGTAATTGTTCAGCTATTTAGTCTTCAGTTCTCTTCTTTCTGAAAGCTCAGTTTATACTTACAAAGAGAAGTATTTTCTTTAATGACAGTTTCCTGGCAGCATCTGGGTTCAGCACTGCCTTGCCCATACTAAGGCACTTGGCTGGTGTTGCCTGCTATGGAGCACATCTCACGGCTCACTGCATGGCTGATTCCTCTACAGGGGAAGGAATATTGTGCCATCACATAAGGTGTGGAGATGCCACCTAATCCTGCTCCCCTGGGGTGGGAGGGAATTGCCTTTCTGTGTAGGCCTACTGAAAGCTAGCAGATTGATAGTCTACTGGTTAAACACACAGTATGACTTACCTCCTTTATTTTAGTTTTATTGATCTTACAAATTTCTATTTTTTTTTTTTTTTTGGAGTATTTGGATATATTTTTGTTCTCTGAAGTTTTTGAAGGCATCATTTTCATAGGCATACAATAGAAATGGTAAACCAAAAAATATATATATAAAAATCCTATTCATACTTTGAGCTTACGAAGTAACAGCACATCCATTGAAATTTAAATCAAAATGAAGACTGTGTCACACACTATAGCTCTCTGGAAAGCTACAGTGGGAGTCTAGCAGTCCAATTCATTCCTTTGTAGACTGTACTAAGGCTAATGGTCTTGCTGGGAGTAAAATGTATTTTTTGCAGAATGGTTCCAAGAACAGACTTTTCTCAGAAAAACATAAAAGAAAACAAATGCTTACTGTGTCTTTAGTATGCTAAATATGAAATTCTTTACACAATGGAATGTTAGCAGTAGCTGTAATCATGTTTTCCTTTCATCACCTAGTGAACGTAATTTTAAGAGAGGACTGCTATAATTATATTTCAGATAAAAAGAAGCAGAATTTCTGGATAGTATTATGGTTGGTTTGATTATTTTGTTGATAGGGAAAAATAAAGAGGGAGACCACATGAATACTTATTTAATGAACAACATATTTATTAAGCTGTGCAGACTGTACATAATGCATTTGACTTTGGATACAATAGAGAAATCTTACTTTCTTCAAGCACATTTCTTAGTATTTCATTACAGCTATCACATTCCTTCTTATCTGTCCCGTTACTCAATTATTTCTGTAGTATATCTATAGCACAACACTAAAGAATTTAGCTTAACTACAGTCACCAGTGCAGGTACAATCAATGTCAGAATCCACAGACTCCACAACATCCTCAGATGCAGATTTCTTATCGCTGCTTCTCTGCCATTCCAACAGGCTTACAGCAGTATCTGTCAGAAGAGAGAAGCTATTGTTAATGAACATCAAGCAAATTAATACATTTCAAGGAACTCCTGTTTTGATGGCTGCCAACTCCGTCATCAAGTAAAGAAAGAAATCCTGCCCCCACAACTGACATCTCACTGACTCATTGACTTGGAGCAGGATTTTCATCAATGATACAATTACTATAATAATTCCCTAAAACCCAAATGAATAATATTTCATGAAGCACAATGACAACAGGCAGGAGCCAGTGAAAGTGCTGGAGGTAGCCACTTTCAAAGTAAGACCAAGTAAGCAATCTCTTTTAATGTTATTGCTGCATATCACTGCATATTTCAGCTGACTATTTGTTGAAGTTCATCCCGAAGGATAAGCCCTTCGGAGAATTTTCAGAGGTTCATAAACTTCTAATTAAAGTTTCCCATATATTGTGAAATCTGACAGAGCATTGTCAGTTGCAGTATTAACCTTACCACACTGCTTTATCAACAGCTTGAATAAGCCATATCCCTTAATGCTGAAATAATCTAAATGGAATAATAATACTCATCCCCCCAATAAATATTCTTAGATAGTTGAAGGTTTATCCTTGCATCTAGAAGAATATTAGGACATCCATTTAGATTAAGTTTGCATAATGAGAATGGGTAAGGCTTTCATAGTTTTACTTCCAATTTTTTTTTTTTATTCCTCAGTTAGACAAAACATTTAAAACATGCCATCTTTCATCACAGGAAAATCTGGAGACTGCTGTGTTTGGGCTGTGTTGGTCACTTATCTGCTGAAATGCTGGCACTCTCCTTGGCTGAATTACTGTCCAACCTCAAGCACAGTTATTTTTTCATAATTATCTTGGTGCCAAATATTTTCCAGAAAGGTTCTTGAGATGCTTTTTTAAAAGAACATCATATTTTCAAGCTATGAAATGAGATCTGCTATAGAAGTCTGAAATCTGCTATAGAAGTCTGAGTTCTATTTTTTATAAGTGTTAATTCATGTTATTCATGAAGGTAAGCTGTGGGTCTATCCATGTTGATATCCACACAGGAAATAGTCCCCTGGGCAAACCAGATTGCAGCTGAAAGCCATCATCCACCTGGATAGGATTGGTGGCATGTTTGGCATGTAAACTGGCTTATGGACTTAAGCTAGGTGTAAAGCCTGCTGCAGTCAAGATACTAAGACTATAAGTTTATGGATATGAGGATAACAGGGGCTAGTCTATAGCCTTGAACTTCATTTTGTCCTTTCCTTACTGGTGACAGTGAAGGGGTCCTTGTCGTTTGAAACAGTAGATTATCAAGTCTGAGTTCTCATACAAAGAGCTGAGGAAAGGTTTTTGTTCTGTGCATGCAAATACATGTTCACTGCTTGGGAAAGATGCAGATTTTATTTATGCTGCTCCAAATCATTGAACAAAGAATGAAAAAGACAAGCTTTCAAGGGTTGGCCTTGTATTCCTACTGATCTCTTCCTTGAGGAAAAACAATTGTCTTGGTTTAAAAAAGCAAAACCAAACAAAAAAAACCTCACATGGCAGCTATTCTCCTTCCTCTCTTTTCTTCTCCTCTTCCAGATAGATAAAATAAGGTCCTTGATTAGGAGTGTTGTTAGCATACTTCCCAGACTCTGATTCAGTAAATGAACCAGAGAAGGCTGCAGGTGCTGTAAAAGTAGCACTGGTTGTGACAACTAACATACTTTTTTTTTTTTTTTTTTTTTTTTAACACGTTTTTGTGAGGGAATGAGACAGCTTTATTACAGCCTAATATTCTGAGGCAGTAAGGGGCCTGGGGTGATGACATTTCAGAGATATAGACTTGGATGCACAAAAAAATCTGTGAAGCATGGATGTGACAAGGTTTGGGAAGAGTGTCTTTTTTTTTTTGTTGCTGTCATTGAAAGAGCGTTCTTTTCATAAAAGGATGCATCTATTCACTTCTCAGGGAGTTGTCAGAAAACTATTAGCACTTTATCTGAGGTACCTGTTAAATAGACTTGCAGAATGTTGACTATTACAGAAAGATACTCATTTTGGGGGTTGATTCAGCAGATATTAATCACATGAGCAAAAAGTGCAAAGTTCTGGATAGATGTTTTAAATCAGAAATATAAGTGTTTCTCAATATAGAAATTCACTGGTTTCAGTGAAACTACACTGCATTATCCCAGCTGTGATTTTGGCTAATAATGGTTAGCATGGAGAACAGATCAATTTAGCAGATATTCTCAAGTAGTGGTTTCTTTCTATGGTATCTGTGTACTGAGTGTCCATTAAAAAGATTTAGGAAGGAATGTACCAGAAATATCTACAGATTCAAGCCTGGATTCTCGTCTCAAACTCGTATAATTGTAATGTATTGCTGCGTTTTGCAATCATGCATTACATTCATGGTGAATTTGTATAAGTGAAAGGAGAAAAAGACTCAGTATTTTTAAAAATCTTGAGTACAAGTTTGTGTGTATAAAATACCTTTGAAAAACAAACCGATTTTTGGAGCAATCTAGAGAACATTTCAGCAATGTGTTTTTTGCTGATGTATTGCATAGTGGAGTAGCATGGCAGGCTAATCACAGCAGTCATGTCACACTACTTGACTGACTTTCAATTGCCTTGCTTGCCCTGGCCTACACAAAATTGCAGGCTGTAATGTGCATAAAAGGACTTACTGTTGCTTATCATGACTTTATGGAGATCCTGAAAACGTGAAAAAAATTTTATTGATCTCTTCTGCCTTTTACCTTTTACCACCTCAGATGTTTTTCTCAGATGACGCTACCTGCCATCATCTAAACTAGCTCTTAGCAAGCCAGTGCTGTCAGTGTTTATAGCAAATACTAATGGGATTAAAACAGCAGCTCAGAGAGGAGCTGGAGCCATACAGTTCTGTGTGTGGCTGTGCAGTGTTTTGTTCTTTCGAGTGCTCTGACAGAGATCCTACAGTACGTGACACAGAAAGAAAAATATCTTACCTTTTGGGAAACAGTGGAAGCCAACCTTAACAGAAGTTTTTTCGATTGGAGTACAGTCTTTCATACATTTCAGTACTGGGTCAACAGAATAGCATGTAGATTCCTCTCCATCAATAGTAGGATTTCGATTCAGTTTCACATAACTGCGCTGCAGTTTGCACCCTAAGAGGAAAAGGAAAGGTAGTTAAAATTGTAGAAATAAATCCCAATCGATCCTTGCAATAATAAAGGTCCATATTTTCTCTTCAGCTTTTATTAAAACACAGGTCCCTGACAAACCATTTTCACAGTAGCAAGGTTATCGAGATAGGATGATAATAAGTTGGGGGACTGAAGAAAGATTCCGTAAGGAGAGCTATATTTAAAATCTAATTGCACAATATAACCCAAATGGAGCTGTGTATACCCATTTTTTTAAAACTATATAATACACAGAAAATAACCTCTCATATCTGGAAGCTATTAAGAATAGATACTGCAGGCACAATGGCTACTTCATTGCATTAGGAAAAATGTCAACTGTAGTGAATGGATAGAAAAAAAAAAGGCAGCATTTATATAATAACATCAAGGATAATTTTTGTATTGGATGTTTTTTATAATGCTGTAATTATCTCACTAGAAAGGTATAATGTAACTTAACAGGATCCCAGCTATGACTCTGCTTCCTGACATACAGATAAGTACAAGTCTGCTGCCACTGAAGTCAAGGAGAAAGCAGCCATTAACTTCAATAAAGTTGTCTCAGGTCCAAGGTAAATGGAGATGTACAAAACAAAACTGTATTGATGTTACGGGAGACCATCATTATTCTTCCAGCTCCATGTGATAGGAAACTTTTACCTTAGTTGTATTTCTAAATATTTCCCTGAAATTGCACCCTCAGATGATGAAGAACAAAAACAAATTTTGTGCACTCTCAAAAATTTGCATATACTTCAGATTTGACCTACTACATTGATAGCATGCAGTGTTTCGTTAAATTAAGCCTACGGAAAGCAGCTACAACTGCTTTGTCTCAGTAGTAAAAATCAAACTGACTTCAGTTAGGTCAGTTTAGATCTGAGTTTGCCTCTCAAAGAAATAAGCTATTCAGTGTAAGAAATTATTAGAAATTATGATAGAATTATGTTATTATGAAATTATGTTAGAATCAATTCTTTAACATTGAACTGCACGTGAGACAAAGACTTGCAGTATTGTATAATCTCTGTGTTCACAGGCAGCATTTTAAAGAGTCAGTGGCTAATGAAGTTAAAATGTATGTATACTACTATTGTCATTTTAAGTAAAATACTGCTTTTAAAAGAAAAAAGTCTTTCCAGCTATTGGCAGAGGAAATCTGAAATTGTATTCTCTCAAGCATAAATTGTTTTCAGATCTACTCACCACCAGAGCAGGTTTCTTCTAGCAATACCCATGAATGAACAAAAGCGGAACAGCTGTGTGCCTGCTTATGATTTGGCATTAGGAGTTCATTGTACTTTTCTCTGTCATTATTTCCACAGATTCCACAGGTCTTTCCTCTCATCCATGAAGTAACAGTAACCTGTAAAACAGTGCATCC